AGTTTTAGGCTCTTTAGTCGGTCCCAATAGTTTAGATGTTTTACTGAGTGGATTCTAGCAGTAAAGGATCTCTGCACGCTCTCCAGGTCAGTAATTTCTCCAGCTTTGAAAGGTGCTGTCATTGTGCAGCAGTACTCCACTCTAGAGAGCACAAGCGTTTTGAAAAGTATCATCATCGGTATAGCATCTCTAGTGTGAAAAGTTCTTGTTATCCAACCTGTCATTTTTCTTGCAGTTGTGACGGCTACTTTATTGTGTTCTTTAAAGGTAAGGTCTTCCGACATGAGTACACCCAGATCCTTTACATTGCCTTTTCGTTCTATGTTATGATTTGCCTGAGTTTTGTACGTGGTTTCCGTTTTTATATTTTCATTTTTTCCATAGCGCATGAGCTGGAACTTATCTTCGTTAAACACCATATTATTTTCTGTAGCCCATAGAAAGACCTGATCTACATCTGACTGGAGGTTCGCCGTGTCCTCTATGTTGCCTACTCTCATGAAGATCCTAGTGTCATCTGCAAAGGATGATACAGTGCTATAGGTTGTGTTCTTGTCTATGTCCGATATGAGGATGAGAAAAAGTACTGGAGCAAGCACAGTACCCTGGGGGACTGAGCTCTTCACGGTTGATGGGCTGGATTTTATTTTGTTGACTATTACACATTGGGTTCTGTTGGTCAGGAAATTGTAGATCCATCTGCCTATTGGGGACAATTATTGCGTGTTTCCATTGTGTGGGCAACACACCACTTAGGAATTATTTGCTAAACAGGTGGAGTGGTGGATTTCCAGACACTTCACACAGTGCATTGAGTATGTCATAGGTGAGGCCATCTGCACCAGGTGCTGTACTTTTACCCTTTTTCATAGCCCCTTTTACTTCCTGGGCTGTGATTGGTTCCCCATACTCGTCATCACTAGACTGTGCTCTTGTTATCCTAATCCTTCTATCATTAAGTCAGAGGATCTGTTCCCTGCTTACTTCTGCAAAGAGGAAGGAGGAGGCGGAAGAGGATGATGCTGCATCACTCCACTTGTGAATTAGTTCTTCAGCCTTACCCTTGGGGTCTTTGTGAGCCGCTGGCCGGGTTTTGCAGATGTTTCTCTTCCAATAGTGAATTCAAGCCATTGTCTTTCCCGCTCTTTAATCTTCTCTTCCCTGGCTACTTGACACACAGTTTAAGCATCTCTTGGTTACTTTCAGTGGGATGTCTCCGGTACTCTCTACTCATACTATCTTACATATACTATGCTCCTTACATTTGCATTGAGCATCTTTATGTAATCGTTCTCATACCATTTAATTTTCTTCCTCTGAGGGTTACTTCACCCAGGCATACGGCGCGGAACTCTTAGACAGCTCTCAATTTGGTTATTAAGGTCATCAACAAATGTATCAATGTCTCCTGGGATTTGGTATTCCGTGAACCAGTCACTCATCCTGCTTATGAAGTGCAGCCTCATATCTGCCCCGAGTGATAACCTTTTTCTTTTATTTGTCTTTTTCCTTCTCTTGCTCATGTCGACGGTGGTAATCAGTGCCCAATGGTCACTACATAAACTGTGCACAATGTGTGTACTGGCATCCGTGTCCTGTGTATTCAGCAGGAGAGCATAGTCCAGTCTTCCTCCTCTGAGGTGAGTTGGCTGTTATCACCCAGGACTCTAAGGTTTTCACTTCCCCTGACATAGTGACAGTTTCCGTCCATTAACATTGGGCTGATGACTGTTGGCACCAAAGTGTGGGTGTCTGGCATTAAGGTCACCGACCAGCAGGGTAGGTTCTTCGTTAATAAATTCAAGCAGTGTGTCAAGGTCCAGTTTACTCTGTGGCACATATAGGTTGATTATATGTAGAGCATTATTGTTTAAGTGAAGGGTTACCCCAGTGACTCATACTCATCCTCCATGTGGAGGTCATCAATCATCTGTGCAGGTATGTTGTAGCTGACATACTAGCTACCGGTGCCTCCTGTAGCACTATGACGTCAGTTTGGTGTTCACGAACGTATTGTATGATATCATTAAGTCTACCGCGAACTCCATTGCAGTTTCATTGTAGGAGAGTGAGACTTTCTTCAGAAGTCTGGTGGTGTCAGTGGTGGGGGATGGTGTCAGAGATGTCTGGTGGTGGGGGATGGTGTCAGAGAAATCTGGTGGTATCAGTGGTGGCGGGTAGTCAGAGAAGTCTGGTGGTGGCGGATGGTGTCAGAGAAATCTGGTGGTCGGGGATGGTGTCAGAAGTCACCATCGCCTCCCATTGACACCAGACTTCTGGCACCATCCCCTCCCCACCATGTATTAGTGTTGTTGTATTTTGTTGGAAGACGGCTTGTTGGGGCTGGATGGATGGAACGAATTCCGCAATGGAACGAATCGACTTCGCCTCATATAGTTCGTTCAAGTGAGGACACAATATATATATATATATATATATATATATATATATATATATATATATATATATATATATATATATATATATATATATATATATATATATATATATATATATATATATATATATATAATATGCGAACAAGGCTGAATGGTCCCTAGGACTATATGCAACTGAAAACTCACACCCCAGAAGTGACTCGAACCCATACTGCCAGGAGCAACGCAACTGTTATGTACAGATAAAATGCTATGTCCAAGATTAACATCTGAGTGCCGGCAGGGAAGTGGTTCAAATAGCTTCGGCTATCACTTCCTTATGTCCGGTCGTGATGGTGAAGTGGATTAAGGCATCCTGTACATACCAGTTGCATTGCTCTTGGCAGTATGGGTTCGAGTCACTTCTGGGGTGTGAGTTTTCAGTTGCATATAGTCCTGGGGACCATTCAGGCTTGTTCGCATTTGTGTTCCTCACGTGTGCTACAAAGAATGAGGTGGTTTGATAAAATGCTATGCCCAAGATTACCATCCGAGTGCCGGCAGGGAAGTGGTTCAAATAGCTTCGGCTATCACTTCCTTATGTCCGGTCGTGATGGTGAAGTGGATTAAGGCATCCTGTACATACCAGTTGCGTTGCTCCTGGCAGTATGGGTTCGAGTCACTTCTGGGGTGTGAGTTTTCAGTTATATATATATATATATATATATATATATATATATATATATATATATATATATATATGCAAACAAGCCTGAATGGTCCCCAGGACTATATACAACTGAAAACTCACACCCCAGAAGTGACTCGAACCCATACTCCCACAACTGGTATGTACAGGGACGCCTTAATCCGCTTGACCATCACGACCGGACATAAGGAAGTGATAGCCGAGGCTATATGAACCACTTCCCCGCCGGCACTCGGATGGTAATCTTGGGCATAGCATTTTATCAAATCACCTCATTCTTTGGGGCACACGTGAGGAACACAAATGCAAACAATGTATATAGTCCTGGGGACCATTCAGGCTTGTTTGCATTTGTGTTCCTCACGTGTGCCCCAAAGAATGAGGTGATTTGATAAAATGCTATGCCCAAGATTACCATCCGAGTGCCGGCGGGGAAGTGGTTCAAATAGCCTCGGCTATCACTTCCTTATGTCCGGTCGTGATGGTCAAGCGGATTAAGGCGTCCCTGTACATACCAGTTGTGGGAGTATGGGTTCGAGTCACTTCTGGGGTGTGAGTTTTCAGTTATATATATATATATATATATATATATATATATATATATATATATATATATATATATATATATATCCCTATCTTAATTATGGTATCTGTGCATGGGGGTCTACCACTGCAAACCACCTTAAGCCCATCATCACACAGCAAAAATCTGCTATCAGAATAATAACTAACTCTGCTTTCAGACAACACTCAGCTCCCTTGTTTAAATCCCTAAACTTGCTAAATATTAACTCCCTCCACACATCCTCTTGTGTCAACTACATTTACAAAACCCTGTTCTTAAATGCAAACCATGCTCTGAAACTCTCCCTGGACAGATGTAATAGGACCCATTATCACCACACCAGAAATAAATATCTCTTTGATATCCCCAGGGTCAAACTTAATCTGTGTAAACACTCTATGCAAATTAAGGGACCTAGTCTGTGGCACTCACTCCCTAGTGAATTGAAAAACTGTAAAACTTTTGCCTTATTTAAAAGCAAAACCAAAAAGTACCTAACTTCATCTTCTTAGTTTCCTACACTGAGCTTTAAATTTGCTCTGTACCTAGTGTTACCCAATCTCCTAATTTTTATGTAATATCAAACTACCTTATCATTGTGTTCATTGCTGTCTTCTTTTATGTGCTAGCCATATGCTGTATTGTGACTACCAATTTTTGTCAACTACCATTCAAGCTGTCATTGCAATCAATCTTATATTGTTTCTGCTGTATTGTGCCTACCAATTTTTGTCAACTACCATTCAAGCTGTCATTGCAATCAATCTTAGCTACCTATGTGCTTTAATATACTGTACCTACAATTTTCTCTCATCATCTTTTTTTTCATTTCATGTAACTGTTATCATTTTTTTGTCTATAAATTTTGCAAGTATTATACCTCCTTAAAATTTTCTTAGATTAAGGACCTGCCCGAAACGCTGCGCGTGCTAGTGGCTTTACAAGACTGTAATTACCATATTTGTATCCTCACATTCCTTATGTACATTCTTGTATATGCATAAATAAATAAATAAACAAATAAATAAATAAATAAATATATATATATATATATATATATATAATATATATATATATATATATATATATATATATATATATATATATATATAAGGTACAATAGATTGTGTAAGTCAGGTTTTGGTGATTAAATGGTACATTTTTGCGAGTCACATGAGTAGCCTACATAATAGCTAATGGAACTGTTAATTTCCATAATTGCTGTTGTTTCACTGTGTTGTTATTTTGGGTATGCAGCAGTTCTAATGTCTATATTGCGGTGTATCATTCTTACTGGGACAACATTGAGTAGTTGCTCGCATAATTTAAGACTGTCTCTGTCCCGCAGGTGTTGGCTGCTGTCTCCGTGGCTATGGGATCTATGTCTGTCGGGTTCAGCGCAGCCTACACCTCTCCTGCCCTAGCCTCTCTCGACAGCCCAAATTCGACTATAAATGTGACGGAGGAGGAGAAGTCTTGGATCGGTTCCCTGATGCCACTCAGTGCTCTCACTGGCAGCATCATTGGTGGCTACCTCATTGACGCCCTTGGCAGAAAGATGGTCATCCTTGTGTGTGGCCCGCCTTTCATCGTGGGTGAGTGTGGGGAGAGGTAGGGGGAGATTTAAGGAGGATAGGGGAAAGGGGTAGGTGGAATGTCGGTGGTCAACGTGGATTGGATTTAGAGGTTGGGGTAATAACCTCTAATTACAGTAGTTAAGTAATTAGCTGCTGCAATTAAGTTTGCAAATAATGCCCCTTTTATTTATCAAGCATTATAATATAGTGTATTTGTATTTGGTTAATTTTTATTGAAAACATTTTCAATCAAATTTTATATTTAAAACTCTTTTGAATAAACATGGTATTGTACTGTTTTGTAAAAATCAGATGCCTTTCAATGTACTAGTATTAACATACAAATCCCTGTAACAGCATGGTCAGTTTAATAGAAGCGTATGAGTATCTTTACTGTGAAAGTTAACTCTACAGGATCATACATGAAAATTATTGCATTTGCTCTGAGATCAACTTCAGGAATGTTCTGTACTACACGGAATTTGTTAATTAATGAATATACACACTAGACAAATTAAAAACAATTTAAGTTACACAAATTTATTTGTAGACCTATACATATAAAAAATTAAAAAATCATCTAATCATCAGTTACACAAATTTATTTGTAGACCTATACATATAAAAAATTAAAAAAATCATCTGTTATGCCATTCATTTGTATTCATGAATTTAAATACTGTACCAATACTTTTCCCTGTACATGAACTTCCACACCATGATCTCCCTGTAATACCCAAAGGGGTCATGAAGCTTGACCTCTTAAGATATAACCCTGAAATAACCCTCTATAACTCTGAAATGTTATCTTCATGTACCTAGTAATCCTTGTTTCATTATTGTGTATTATTCTAATCTGCTTTTGTGTCAAAATTTCTTCAATGTACCTGTAAACATTTTTTACCAATTTTACTGTAATTATTCTACTTAAAATTATCTGTACCTGTAAAGTAAAGTTGTAAAGTACCTGTAAACATTTTTTGTCAATTATACTGTTAAATTATCTAAAAATTATCTGTTAGCGTTTCGTGCAAGTCCTTAAACTATGTGTGCTAGTAGCTTTACAAGAATGTAAATTCAGCTTAATTTCTATGTTCTCTGTTAACCCCAATGTACCTTCTTGTATATAAATAAATAAATAAATAAATAAATATAGAGGCCCTCGTGGGTTTAGTTGTATAAGGTACAGGTTTCCTTCATTTGAAACCTCCTCCTTCCAGTATTTATGCAGTGAATCTAGCCTCCCGGGCAAGATGCCCATTTCTGGGGTTAGATGCTGGAGGGTTTTGAGGTTCTCATTGGGGTATCATAAGGTCAAGAATCCTCTCATCTCCATGAAGAAGGGTGCAGGCCAAGTTAGTTCACACCTTGAAATATTGTTGGACAAAGTTACACTCCTTGGATTACGTTTCCATGGAGTGTAACCATAGGGTCAAGAGTCAATGAACTATGAAACATCTTCCCTATTACAAAGCAAAGACATCAACTCTCTCAGGCACTCCATGAACAAGAGGCTGGTGGTCTCAAATAGTCAGATTAATGGTTAGGTGGGGGCCTTGAGCAAGACACTTCCAGCCAGAGCCTAAGATAGTGTCCCCCTCATTAGTGTACAGCCTATCATTGAAAGACCACACCCCAATATGAAGATGTCTGAGGGAAGACAGCGCTCAAGAGGGTGTGGCCAGGTCCTAGGATTGGCCACCAAGTAGACCTAGCTGACTCATTGTGCCAAGGGTGAGGGCCTCAGGCATGATTGTAGGGGTAATGAATTGAACAACAGTGTGAACTGTGGCTTTGAACTGGGGGTGGGGGTGGGGGAAGGTTTCTTTTGTGGGGAGCAGATCTATCACCAGGTGGTCTAGGATTACATCAGCAATTTATAGAGTAATTGCCTGTCTCCATGTTCAGAACACCTACTATAGAGTTCTTACATTCTTGTAAAGCCACTAGCATGCATAGCATTTCAGCTTTAATCTTAATTTTCCCTGGAATACATCCCGCCAAATTGTTTAACAACCATGTACCCATTCACTGTTGGGTGAACAGAGGTGTACAGTTAAGGATTGGCACTTAGTCAATCCTCCCCGGCCAGGATACGAACCCAGGCCAAATCACTCGAGAAGCATGGGGAGAGTGTTTTGCCACTGCGCCATGTGGACTGCCAATTTTGTCAAATCAGTTGCCAACTAGGGTTCATTTCTAGTTAAATAATTTGTATTAATAAATACTTGAGTACTGTATTAACTTTTGATCTTTGAGTATCAGTGGACCACTTTGTTGTAATAACAGTGGCCGAGGGAGTTAAGGCCCATGAAATCTCGTGTGATTATTGGTGACTTTCCATTAGTAATCTAATTAATCCCTGCTCACATTAATGAATAATTGAAGGACAATTGAGTAGGTTACCCCCTTGAGTATCAATACCATGGTGACCAGTGTCAAAGAATTACAGTTTAAAATGCTCGACTTCCTTTATTGTCAATATCCATTAATCAAATCAAATCAAATCAAATCAAATGTTTATTTAGGTAAGGTACATACATACAAGAGATTTTACAAAGAATGATGGATTTATAGATAGGGCTAGTACATACAATGCCTAAAGCCACTATTACGCAAAGCGTTTCGGGCATGAAAAACTTAAATGACTAAAGCTTAATACTAATTGAGCATAAAGAATAAAATAAGTTGAGAACAAATAAAAAAAAGAGATAAAAAAGGGGGGAACATGGCTGAAAAAGCAGCACAAATACAATTCTGTCGACAAACAGCGCCATTTAAAAAAAAAAAGACATTGGTTGACAATAGAGAGGTAAGGTAGGTTACAGGGAATTTATTAGGTATAGCTTCGTTTTTATCTTAAACTGGTTGAGAGAGGTACAGTCTTTAACATGGTTGGGAAGGTCATTCAACATCAACAGATCAACAGATCTCGGATAATGATCAAAGCAATCAAGAATTCTAATTAAATTGGAGGTGGTGGCAGCAATAGTTAACTTCAATGATGAGCAGTGTGTCCTATTAACAGGGCTGTAAAACTCCAGGGGTCATAATACACAATGTTACGTCCCGTGCACACGAACCTCTGCCCCATGACCTCCCATGCACACGAACCTCCATGACCTCCCGTGCACACGAACCTCTGCTCCATGACCTCCCATGCACCCGAACCTCTGCTCCATGACCTCCCATAAACACGAACCTCTGCTCCATGATCTCCCATGCACACGAACCTCCATGACCTCCCATGTACACGAACCTCTGCTCCATGACCTCCCATGCACACGAACCTCTGCTCCATGACCTCCCATAAACACGAACCTCTGCTCCATGACCTCCCATGCACACGAACCTCCATGACCTCCCATGCACACGAACCTCTGCTCCATGACCTCCCATGCACACGAACCTCTGCTCCATGACCTCCCGTGCACACGAACCTCTGCTCCATGACCTCCCGTGCACACGAACCTCTGCTCCATGACCTCCCATGCACATGAACCTCTGCTCCATGACCTCCCGTGCACATGAACCTCTGCTCCATGACCTCCCGTGCACATGAACCTCTGCTCCATGACCTCCCGTGCACATGAACCTCTGCTCCATGACCTCCCGTGCACATGAACCTCTGCTCCATGACCTCCCGTGCACATGAACCTCTGCTCCATGACCTCCTGTGCATGTGAACCTTTCCTCAGTAACCTCATCTGGACATAAACCTCCACACAGTGACCTGTGCACACTAACCTCCATACTACAAGCACCCCCCTCCCCTGCACACACACACTTCTAAGGGGCCTCGTAGCCTGGTGGATAGCGCGCAGGACTCGTAATTCTGTGGCGCGGGTTCGATTCCCGCACAAGGCAGAAACAAATGGGCAATGTTTCTTTCACCCTGAATGCCCCTGTTACCTAGCAGTAAATAGGTACCTGGGAGTTAGTCAGCTGTCACGGGCTGCTTCCTGGTGTGTGTGTGTGTGTGTGTGTGTGTGGTGTGGTGTGAGAAAAAAAAAAAAAAAGTAGTTAGTAAACAGTTGATTGACAGTTGAGAGGCGGGCCGAAAGAGCAAAGCTCAATCCCCGCAAACACAACTAGATGAACACAACTAGATGAACCCAGATATTTCCCCCGACATGCTTTTTCAAACAGTCATCAATCAATATCACTGTTCTTGACAGCTTTCCCTCCCGATAGCTTGGCTGCTGATTGGATCATCAAGTAATGTTATGATGATATATGGTGGTCGTGTCCTGGGTGGTTTGTGTGTGGGTCTGTTGACACTCACTCTCCCTGTCTACCTTGGGGAGACCATCCAGCCAGAGATCAGAGGCATCCTTGGACTCCTTCCCACTACCTTTGGCAATGCTGGTAAGTTTATACTTTCATTTAAACTGTTCTATCACAATTTTTTGTAAAGCCCCAATACAATGAGAAAGAGTGTATTAGTTCATTTAGTTTAGTATAGACCCCACTTTCATACTGTGGTTGAGTGACAGAAAGGCTTCAATTCTCATAATGGGTCCAAGAACTGGACCATAACAATCTCTAAGCTAACCAAATTACGTTTGTGGTGAGCTAATGCCATATAATTTGATTTGCTGATCATTCACCCCTATACCCTGCCAGTGGGCGGTGGCAGTGGAAAGTTTATAATTACCATACGTGCATGCACTACCTACAGTAAGCAACACTGAATTTAACTAAATTTACCTTGAGATACTTGGCCTAAATATATATCTGAATTTATCTCAATTTACCTGAGGGCCACCATTTATTTAATGGTCACGACGGGGACAGGAAAC